ATAAATATCACCTTCAAACCACTGCCCAGTTCACCCTCTCACCATCACATACCACAGCCCAGTACACCATCTCACCATCACACACCACAGCCCAGTTCACCCTCTCACCATCACACACCACAGCCCAGTCCACCCTCTCACCAACACAGATCAGAATGATCCACAAAACATACCAAAAACAATATATCAACAATTGGACCAATGAAATTGCCACAGTTAATAAATTAGAATGCTACAGATTACTGAAGAGAGAATACAGACTAGCAGATTATCTGATCAAAATAAAAAACCCCAAAGAAAGAAATATCTTACCAATGTACAGACTGAGTGATCACAATTTAGAAATAGAAAAAGGGCGCCATAAAAAACACTGGAGGCCCAGAGAAAAACGAATATGTAATCAGTGCAGTTCAGGACAAATCGAAACTGAGCTACACTTTCTCTCCTCCTGTAACAGATATAAAGACCTCAGAGAAGATTATATCAGCTCAGTTGAAACTTATATCCCATCATTTAAAGAGAAAATGACTAAAACAGAAGATTTGTTACGGGTGTGTTTAGGAGAGACACCAGAATGTGCTGAACTATCAGCTAAATATGTTTACAGCTGCCACAAACGCAGAGAACAGAGTGACACAGCGCCTTAAACTGATCCCATGTAAATGTATCATTTATTTATTTGATGTTGTGTGTGTATTTTACAATGTGTATGTTTATGTATGTATATGTGTGTATGTACATATGAATATTTTATTATTTTAGTCTTTCTTTTATACATTATTTCCTTCTTCACCATTATCTTCATATTCTACTAGGATATTTTAATTGCTTTGGCAACAATTGTTCATTACAATTCATGCCAATAAAGTTATTTGAATTTGAATTTGAATTTGAATTTGAGTGAGAGAGAGAGAGAGAGAGAGAGAGAGAGAGAGAGAGAGAGAGAGCGATCAACAGAATGGCAGAGAGATTGAGAGAGAGAGAGTGAGAGAGAAAGGCAGAGAGAGAGTGAGAGAGACACAGAGAGAGAGAGAGAGAGAGAGAGAGAGAGAGAGAGAGATGATGGCCAGTGACGCCATTAGACTGCACTTCGCTGTTCTGGTGGCTGGTCTCTTCATGCTGAGGGTCTCAGGTGAAGCAGACTGAATGCTGACTGTGTCTCGCGCTCAGGAGCCAAACACAGTCGCGGTGACAGAGTTTATAAACAGTAACGTGTTGAAAACTACATCCTAACTCCCTCCTCCTCCTCCTCCTCCTTCTCCTCCTCCTCCTCCGGCTCTGCTGCTGAAGCTGCTGCGATGGATTCACCGCATTAAACCCAGTCAGATCCAATCAGAAGCAAATAATCACACCACGCCCATCATTTCTGCTAAATCACCCAGGACAGACCCCCGTCAGTGGAGTGAGGAGTGTGGATACTCACTGTCTGAAGCCATCGCTCAGGCGGAGCGGAGTGACCCAGCGGTATCAGACAGACCCCTTTACTGCTCCTCCATTACGGGTGTGTATTCTGTAGGAGAGCAGTGTGAGCTGGATTCGGTAAATCCACTGATTCCTGGTCCCGCATCTTCTCCTCATGCAGCCTCTGACTGCAGCAAAAAGCCCAGCAGGCTCTCCTCCAGATCCTGGCTGGGCCACAGCGGCGAGCAGAGGCCCCGCCCTCCTCCCTGTGAAAGCGACGATGGAATGGATCTAGTGGAATATTTACATGCTCATTTGCATTTTGCTTTATCATTGGATGCCACGCGAAGCGAGTTGCCTTGTGATTGGATGCGACGCGCAGCGGTTACGTTTATATTTGCATTTCGGCCTCGATTTATAGAACTTGTAGAGATGGGATTCACCCAAACGCCCAACGCCAAATCCCAAACGCTAGAGGGCGCTCCCGAGCGAGTCCCAAAATGAACGGGTTGATATGGAGCATTTGTGCAAAATCATAGTTTATAAATGCTCAAACATTTTGAATGTAAAATAATACATTTAATTTCTAAGCAGCATGAAACATTTTAACACTGTTGTATTTTTAAGAGCTTTTAAACTCGAGTTGTAAACTCTTGAGTTTAAAATGGCGCCTCATGTAAGTTCATGATGTCAGTGAGCGCAAACAGCCAATGAGCTGCTCCGCTCGCCAATCAATCAGCACTCAGTAGCAGTAATGTTAGCGTCCTGCTGCCCAAAACCTGTTTACTGTAGAAAAAGGAAACATACAGGTGAGTTTTCTTTGCTTTTTTAGTGAAATCCATCCTTCTACTTTCTAAAATTAAAGGAAAGTTCTGGGCGAGTGATTAGAAACTATTTTAGCTTTTAGTTTTTAGCCGTTTAGCTCCATTTACTCCCATTCATTGAGCACTCGCTCGCGGGCGCCCTCTGCTGTTTTGCAGTCCTGTTTTTGATATAACGAGGGAAATAGGAAGCGGCCAGACTCCTCTGTTGATTCTCATTTTGCAGTTGTACGCTATACAGATCTGGTTAGCCCTCATTTGCATTTTGCTTCCTAATTGGATGGCATGCAGTTATTATTTGAACTTATTCTTATTCGCATTTTGCTTCGTGATTGGGCGGTACGCGGCATGGGGTTACACATTGACATTTGTTTTTGCAATTGGAAAACGCAAAAAAGCATGCAAATGAGCTGTTCAGTCTCTCATCCCGCAGCACTGGCTCCATTGTCGTTGCTTATAAAAGCAAGTTGGAATATGCTAATGTAAAAATGTGGCTTGTTACTTGTAAAATGGACTTTTTTCCCTAATTTGCCTCAAATATGAGTGATTTTACTCACATCTATTATATCAAGCATGCAAACCTTTTGTCTTGGGGGGCCAAAGTGCCATGATTGTGTTAGGCTGAGGGCCGAAAGGACTAAACAGTATACAAATAAAGAACAAATCAAGTTTTTTAAACAAATATTTTATAAAAGTACACTATGTTTTGGTACTAAAACATTAAAAAAAAAATTTAGTATGTTATATATAGTATAAAAATGTTTGTTCTCTGGTTGGGTGAGGTTTCTGGCGGGTCAAATTTGGCCCATGGCCCCCATTTTGGGCAGCTCTGTTTTTGATTAATGTGAAAACCCAAATCATGTAAAATGATTTAACTCCAGAACTCAACTCACACAGCTCAAATATAAGTCTTGAGAGTTACCAGTAGATGAGAAGAACAACAGGTCGACTCCACCCCCGCCACCAGAAGAAAGTTTGAAAGTTCAAAGCTTTTTCAATACTGCAGTGTAGTAAAAATTCAGCATATCATTTTTAGATAAGCTAACACTCTACTGATGTCTGCAAAGCATGTCATTTCAAACCAGACACAACTCACTTTGCATCGGTGAAGCAAAGAAGGTTCTCGGTCCATATTTGTTGTGTTTCGCAGGGCCCCTTGTTGCCGCTCCAGTGGAATGGAAATAGGCCTGCATGTTTTTAACTAATATAATCAAATGAAACATATTTTTCATGTATCTCTGTTATCAGATGAACTAGGACACTGTTTTGTCTCTGTGTGTGACATGCTGTGAATCTGTGTTGAGCTGCTAGTGAGCAATGATGGGTGAAAGGGGAGGAGTCAGAACCTCCTGCAGTGAAAACTGTTCACATCTCTCAACAAAAATGGCTGTGTCCAGATAAAATGGACAACTGCAGCTTCATCTCAAACAATCCTGTACAGCTGACACAATAAAACAGCATTTAAACACAATAAAATCATGTCTATAAATGTTGACTTGTTTGCTCAGCCATAGACAAAAATCCAGTTCACTTCCGGTTTCGTAAACTATACACATTTCCATCAAAATCTATTCCAACAGTTTTGGAGAAAACAAATGCATAGTTCAACTGACTGAGCTCCAAAACAGGTGCATTTCATGGCTACTGAAAAAAGGAGCTAAACACAGTGTGATGAATGTTCGCTTCCCTTGAGAACCTCCTGAATGAGGCCACGTTTAAATGATTCAGTCACCTGTTTTATTTATTTAACATTTGAAGACTTTTGTTCTGATTGAAGTAACGACTGGATTAAAACTCAGGGATATTAAGCAGTAGCAGTTCTGGTATCACGGTGAGCCGATTACTGAGCAGGGATAAACAGGAGGATGTCCAAAGAGTGACCACCGTGTTGCTTCTCTGTCTCACTCATTGTCTTGTCACTTCAGCTTCACCAGCTCCATTTAGATGAGACTCAGTAATGACTGCATGTGATGATATATCAACTTAGATGTTCAGGTGATAGAGTGATTTAAGGACACATACAGTCATATGCAGCTGTTTTAATACTGCTGGTCAAACTGCATGTTTTGCTGATTTTCTTTGTGAAAATATGTAACACATCCTGAACAGGGAACACAATTAAATATGGCATTTTCCTGCAAATTTTAGCATTTCTTTTTAATTTATTTAATATATTGGGAAAACAAATTACAAAATGTCCCAAAACCTTTGCACAGGCTACATTTTATGTTTTTCCCAAATATCTTTGGTAAAATTCAGCCAATCAGCATTGACTGAGCACCAAAATTAGCATACGTGTTCTCTGTAAAGGCCAAGTTAGAAAATCATCAAAACACAAAATTTGACCTGGGCGCCTAAACTTTTTCACACACATCGTCCAGCAAAATTGAAGGGGCCAAATTCGACACCCCCCCAACCTCCCAAACCTCTATTTAATTTGTATGTGTGCGTTTATGTAGTATAAACAATCATAATTCATTTTAACATGTTTTTCTTCTCTCTTTAGGCCGTAGAAATTAAACAGGCTGTATTTGTTACCGTAGCTTTAATAATAGATATGCAAATGAGCTCTGTTCTTATTGGCTGCTCTGTACTGTTCTTTCAAAAAAATAAATAAATAAATAAACCACTCCCTATGACTTCAGTGTGAGTGGGCGGGGCTAAACTGCTGCAGGCTGAATACGTGGATGTATGTACACGTGTTGGTTTTCATGACATCACAAAAACTGTGACTAAAATAAACCAGGCTGGTTCTGCAGCTGAGCACACCAGCATGGACCGAAGGCGAAAACCAAAGAGACATTTCTACAAAATCTTTTATCTTTTTATCTAGAAAACACCATTTTGTCACCAATTTGTCACACAATCAGCATTAATACTCTTTACAGCAGCATTTTCACAACAGAAAAAGGTAAAAACAACAAACAACAAAGATAAAAGGGTCTCAAAACATCTATTATCTTAAGTTTCAGACATTATACATATAAAATATATATAATTTAAAAAGCAACTTCCTTTTTTAAAAGACTTCCTTGTTTAAAAGACTTACGATAATTATCACATTAACAATTCTGTGTGTTCGCCTATGGAACTGAATGGACAGAGTCCCCCTGATTTCACACAACACAGGCTTGGTCAATTGTTAGCCTTCTCTTCGAGACATAGAAGGGCTAACTGCACTGCTAAATCTACTGAGGGCACATAAATCCATCACTTAGAGCTTGAATGCATCAACTTTTCACGGCGTCCACTATTTTTCATTACACAATCGAGTTTCTAATATGGGCCGGACGCCAACTACAGCTTCAGCGCTCTGTGGACCATAGCTGAAGATACAGCAGATAGAAATCAGGTTGAAAACAGCTGCAGTGCTTCTTTAAACGACAAACAAATGAGAGCAAGGAGACATCAGCCCTCTCTATTAGCTCTACTCGCTTTGTAGAAGCTGCTGAATGATCTGTCCACTCAGGTGGGACCTGTTAAAAGCTCGTCCAGTCTTCTCTGTTCAGTGTTCATCACCCTCTTGTTCTGATTCCCAGTTGAATCGCCTTTTCTTTTTCTCTAAGAGAGGGAAAAATGAAACGAACACATCGTCAAAGACAACAACCAAACAGAAACATGATCGACTGAAGCTAATCCCACACTCTGCATGGCCCCCCGGGACGCAATTACCTTCAGTCTTCTCATCCAGCGTAGTCAGGCACCACAGCCGGGTCACGCCCATCAGCTCTTTGTTCAGATTTCCTATTGGACAGAAAAGCTGCCACTTAGCATCACTGGCTCATCTGAATGAGAGAGAGGTTAAATGGCGGGCGGGGAACTTACCTTGGCTCGTGAAGCGTAGCTGGGTGCGCTCTTTGAGGGACAGGACTTTCTTCTTATAGTTTGACACTTCTCCCGTTGTAGTGTCCGTGGCTGCTGAGGCCAACTCTACTTGTCTGTGACGGCGAGACTTGGAAGCCTGATTGGTAACCACAGACAATATTACAAGTCAGGAAATCTTCACTCTGTGCATGGATATGTCCACTGCTTCACCTCTGGCTTTGTTTTCTTTCATAGCTACTACTGAAAAGTTGGACGGAAGCTTTACAGATCCCATCAATCTAATCTTACACCGATCAGGCAGAACATTATGACCACCTCCTTGTTTCTACACTCATTGTCCATTTTATCAGCTCCACTTACTATATAGGTGCACTTTGTAGTTCTACAGTTACAGACTGTAGTCCATCTGTTTCTCTGATACTTTGTTACCCTGTTCTTCAGTGGTCAGGACCCCCATGGACCCTCACAGAGCAGGTACTATTTGGGTGGTGGGTCATTCTCAGCACTGCAGTGACACTGACGTGGTGGTGGTGTGTTAGTGTGTGTTGTGCTGGTACGAGTGGATCAGACACAGCAGTGCTGCTGGAGTTTTTAAACACCTCAGTGTCACTGCTGGACTGAGAATAGTCTACCAACCAAAAATATCCAGCCAACAGCGTCCTGTGGGCAGCGTCCTGTGACCACTGATGAAGGACTACAGGATGACCAACACAAACTGTGCAGCAGCAGATGAGCTATCGTCTCTGACTACATCTACAAGATGGACTGACAAGGTAGGAGTGTCTAATAGAGTGGACAGTGAGTGGACACAGTGTTTAAAAACTCCAGCAGCACCGCTGTGTCTGATCCACTCGTACCAGCACAACACACACTAACACACCACCACCACGTCAGTGTCACTGCAGTGCTGAGAATGACCCACCACCCAAATAGTACCTGCTCTGTGAGGGTCCATGGGGGTCCTGACCACTGAAGAACAGGGTAACAAAGTATCAGAGAAACAGATGGACTACAGTCTGTAACTGTAGAACTACAAAGTGCACCTATATAGTAAGTGGAGCTGATAAAATGGACAATGAGCGTAGAAACAAGGAGGTGGTCATAATGTTATGCCTGACTGGTGTACATTTAAAGGTGTTTGTTTTACACCAGGGGTGTCCAAAGTCCAGCCCCAGGGCCAAATGCGGCCCACAGACAGATATTAACTGGCCCCCAGCTTCTGTTTTACAGTGTATTTTAAGCAGCCTGCCAGCCAGCACATTGCAGTTCTTCCTTTCACCTGATGGTGGCAGCTGACCAGACCTGCAGCTTAATTTAGTCAACGACATTTAGTCGACAACAGACACAAAGCTCCAACAAAACACAGAGAACTGGCGATTCTGGCGAGATGGAAAACTTATCATCAAAACAAATTCAGTAAATATTTTATATCTTCTGCTTTTATTTATGTATGTTACACTGAAGTGCCTTTGTGCACGAACTGCGCTTTAGAAATAAACTTGCCTTGCCTTGTTGCATTCATTTAACCCTTGTGTGGTGTTGGGGTCTGTGGGGTCCATTTTCAATGTTTACCAAAGGAAAATCTGATTTATTATTATTTCAACCTCAGATTCTTGGCCTTTGCTCATTTTCTGAGAAGAACATATAAAATAACCCATTTTCAGTGTCTTCACTCTGTTCACCCCCCACACATTTATATTACACATGTGGTGTTAGGTGAACCTACGGGGAAGGTGCTGTGTCCTTCACTCTGTTCTCCTCCTACATGGCCTGCTGTTAGTGTGTGTGTGTCTGTGTGTGTATATGTGTGTATATGTGTATGAGTGTGTGTGTGTGAGGGTGGACAACATGTACAGGCTGCTGACTGGCTACAGCTGCTAAAGGAGAACCTACACTGGCCACTTGTGCTATTTTAAGGGTTAACACTGACTCATGTTTGCTGTTTTCCTAAGCATGTGTTTAGACAACATACCTCTGCAGCCTGTCCATAGGACCTGGATTTGATGGACTGCAGGAGCTGTGCTCTGTGAGCGCTCTGCTGGAGAGAAATGTTCAGAGTTACAGCACAAATGAAAACAGTCCGTCAATCAATTACAATCACACAAATTGCACATCCAAAACAGCGTCGAACATTTATTGGAATGAAATGAGGCCCAAATATATGTTTGACAGCTATAAGGGGTCCAAACAGAAAAAGACAGTGAGATTAAGACATAAAGGTTGTAAGTAAAGAAAAATCACAGCACCTCTTGACCTGAAGTGCCTTCTCCTGCACCTGCGTCACTCTCAGCACCCTGACCGTCAAACTCCTACACAAGCAGACAGAAAGACAAACACAAGTAAGTGCACCCCCCTGATCAGAGTTGTGCTTAATGATTCCCTAAAGCCAGGGTTAGACCACACGATTTCCCCACCCCGATTTTAGCCCGAATTCTCAGTCTGGCTGAGTCTGTGCTGGTCAGCTCTAATCTGCACAGTTTCGGGCAGCTGGAGTCGGCAAATGGGACAGAACATCTAGTACTGTGTGAGGGGCGCAGACCAGTCAAAGTATATCAAAAATGTTTGATATTTTTTTTTGACCCGAACATAATTTAGCAGTGTATACTTGTCAGTGACTCAATCTAGAATAGACTCCAACAGCCAATGAAAACTGAGTGCATGAAAAAAGAAAAAGATGCAATTAAAAAAGAAAAATGGTGCACAGACACTCAGGCTCTTCAAGCTTTTCAATGAACTGAGGCACGAGAACAATCGAGTGCATCTAAAACTCTAAAAAGACTTCATAGTGATGGAGAATGTGTTGTGTGTTTCTATATAGAACCAGTTTCAAAAAGGTTCTATATGGAAACATATACAACACATTCTCCATCAATATGAAGAACCATTCCACCATGCAAAGATCCATTTAAGCATGAAACAGTTCTACACAGAAAGCATGGTTCTAAATACAACCTTTGCCTTTACTAAAACCCTGGAAGAACTATCTTTTTATATTGTGTATAGGTAATTGTCCCCTAATTACTATTCCATGGATTAGAGAACTACATAGAACATTATTGTAGGGACCATAAACTGCCCCCTAATCACTATTAAATCACTATTCACTATTAAATGGAACAGAAATGGTTCTCTAATCACTATTCTCCTCACTGGAACACTATATAGAGCACTATTATAGGGAATGGACATAGCTGCTAAATCACTATTCCCTACATTGGACAACTACATATGCAGTTCACTATTAAAGTGAACAGAAATGGTTCCCTAATCACTGTTGCCTAAACTCCAACACTATACAGAACAATATTATAGAGTACAGAAATGGTTCCCTAGTCACTGTTATGAAGCACAGAAATGGGCCACTAATCACTGTTTCCCACTATTAGAAAATCAGAAGCGCTATATAGAGAACAGAATTAAAGAATAGTACACAACTTTGTATGATAGTGTTATGAGTTCATTACTCTGTGACAGCAGTCACATACAATGCAGTGGATTATGAAGGTCTGAAAGGGTATATACAGAGAACTTGTAGAGAGGAGAATTACCACTTTATAATGTCCTCTGGGTTTCTCAAACACTAGAGGGCGCTCCTGAGCGAGTCCAAAATGAATGAGTTAAGATGGAGCATTTGAGCGAAATCACAGTTTATAAATGCTTAAAGATTTTTTATAAAACATTTTTTGAGTGCTTTTGAACTCAAGTTACACGAGTTTAAAACGGCGCCAATGAGCGGCTCCGCTTGCCAACCAATCAGCACTCAGTAGCAGTAATACCAGCGTTCTGCAACCTAAAACCCGTTTTGCTGTAGAAAAAAGGAAACATACAGGTGAGTTTTCTTCACTTTTACAGTGAAATACATCCTTCTACTTTCTAAAATTAAAGGAAAGTTCTGGCTGAGTGATTAGAAACCCCCATTCATTGAGGACTCGCTTGCGGGTGCACTCTAGCGTTCTGAAGTCTTGTTCAGTCATTGATATAACAGGGGAAATAGGAAGCGGCCAGGCTCCTCAAAAACCAGTTCTAGTATATCATTTGTCTGTTGCAATGCATTGTGGACTGTAAGTGTGCATTGAATTTTCTCCAATTTTTTTTCATACAGCAGAATAGCAGCCTCCCTAAACAGTACATAGTAAACAGCTGCATCAATGGGCTAAAAGAAAACATGTAGCAACAAAGCAGCAGCAAGTCTTTCAGGCCTCTTTCTGAGTCACTCACTCACTCAACACTTACGGCCTGGTTCTGCTGCCAGCTGTAGTAGGTGAGCACAGCGCTGCGTAGTTTGGGCACCAGGTTCTGTTTGATGAGGCTGAGGTCAGGCGTGTCCGGCTGTGGTGAAACTGCTTGCTTCAACTTTTCGTAGTGCTCATGCACGTTAGACAGTTCCTGGAGTTCATACACACACAAAAATAAATATTATCAGCATTACGTTTACTGGTTATTACTTTACTAACTATGTGCAACGGTGAACAAGGTGTGTAGTTCGACTGCTGTATGACGGTTTGGCCTGTCACAGTCATTAAACTTTACCAGACATCAAATAAACAAACGGTACTTATCGCCTCCCTATGGTGTTACTACCAATCATCAAATCAACAAGGAATAAACACCTTATAAAGGTGTTATTACCAAATATCAAATAAAAAAAACCATAACTTACCACGGCCCTATAAAGGTGTTATTACCAATTGTCAAATCAAGAAACGTTACTCACTGCCACACTATAAAGATGTTTTTACCAATCATCAAATAAATAAACATTACTCACTGCGGCCCTTTAAAGGTGTTATTACCAACTGTCAAATAAACAAACGTTACTCACCATTGCACTATAAAGGTGTTACTACCAATTATCAAATAAACATTACTCACTGCGGGCCTATAAAGATGTTATTACCAATCATCAGATAAACAAACGTCGCTCACCGCTGCCCTATAAAGGTGTTATTACCGATCATCAAATCAACAAGCATTACTCACAGCCACCTTATAAAGGTGTTATTACCAAATATCAAATAAACAAACATTACTTACCATGGCCCTATAAAAGGTGTCACTACCAATTGTCAAATCAAGAAACGTTACTCACCGCCACACTATAAAGATGTTATTACCAATCATCAAATAAATAAACATTACTCACTGCGGCCCTTTAAAAGGTGTTATTACCAACTGTCAAATAAACAGACGTTACTCACCACTGCACTATAAAGGTGTTACTACCAATTATCAAATAAACATTACTCACTGCGGGCCTATAAAGATGTTATTACCAATCATCAGATAAACAAACGTTACTCACCGCCACACTATAAAGATGTTATTACCAATCATCAAATAAATAAACATTACTCACTGTGGCCCTTTAAAAGGTGTTATTACCAACTGTCAAATAAAAAACATTACTTATCACGGCCCTATAAAGATGTTATGACCAGTTATTAAATTAACAATTACTACTCACTGCAGGCCTATAAAGATCTTATTACCAATCATAAAATAAACACTACTCACTGTAGCCCTATAAAGGTGTTATGACCATTCATCAAATAAACAAACACTCACTGCAGCCCTATACAGGTGTTACAGCACCAATACATGCATTTGCCTCAACCTAAGAGATTAAAACTCAACTGACATTCTGTTCGCTGTGACAATCAAATGACTGAAGTCTAACAATTAATCATTTATCCAGCTCAAATGACTGCAATCAGCAGATTCTATAATGACTGGAACAGGCTAACGAAGATGAGATTAATCAATCAGGCAAGTACAATCTAATACAAATCTTCTACAGGTGGTGCTGTTTGCTTGGTCATGTTCAAGTGATGAAGTGGTGAAAAATCTAATAAATACAATTTTCCCCATATGGTAAATGTGGCCAATTAGCCAAGACATGTTTAGTGTAGACATTTTGTGTCAAACGGATTAAAGTATGGGCAAAAAGGCGGCTGCTACATCGGTTTCAGCTACGCAACACACTTTTATCTGTTTATAGACAACAGTGTCATGCAGAGTCTGAAACCATAAGCAGGTCCGCTTGAGATTTCTAAACATTTCAATGTGGTTTAAGGCAGCCATGTGATGTTTTAGGCATGCAGTCTGTCCAGTGCTAACTGGTGGGACATAAGCTTCCATTACACATTAGCTACACTAGCATCAGAGCTTGAATGCAAAACTAAAGACACAAACACATCTTGGCTGTTTCTGCAACGTCTGGCTGAGGGTAAATCTGTGAAATGATTTTTGGCTTTAAATCTGTGATCTGCCTCACCTCCAGCATGTCTGTGCCGACGAGCTCCTGCGGACGGGACGGTCGATCGACGAACGTATCGCACAGCTTTTGACTCTTCTCCCCTCGTTTCCTCTTCAGGTTAAAGAACAGCTGCACCCAAAACACACAGCGATGTAGGAAACTTGCAGAATTCTGTTACTGACCATCTAATAAGGATGCTGCCAGATTACAATGAGTAAAGTAGACTAGTCTAATGGGCAGATATAGAATTGGAGGTGACCGCAGTGTACCCAGTGACTGAGACTGAGACCAGGATACAGAGAAAGGACAACGTTATGAGAATCATGGGCCAATGCTGACATCCAAAATTTTTCATGTACATAAGCATATATCGATAGTGTTGCTGATACATGAACATCTATGAAATGCAGAAAGTGGGACTACATCAATTGGCTGTAGTCTCATATTCTTGTCGTATATCATGTATTTCACATGTTTATTCACTGTAATTCAGCAACTGCCACTGTCAGAACAAAACCTTGTATCTCCAAAAAGGGAACTTTACAGAAGAAGGTCTGAATCTTTAATGGAAGTTGATGTAAAATCATTTTATCCTGTGCCATTTTATCCATTAATTATGTAAATGCTCATACGATGTAAAAGGCAGCTGGCATTTTCAAAGTTTGTTAAAAATATAAAAAAGACAAAATGATGCAATGTTTTGTTCCAACAGCAAAAACAAGTAAGATTTGAGTCAATAAGTTTTCAGTTCATTTCTATGTGCAGGGAAATGCATTGAAATTATTGTGTGTGGAGTATATACCACACTGAACACTGACGTGTCCCTTAACTCATGATTTTTTAAAAATATATGTTTTAAATGTCATAAATTCCAAATGTCATTTTTAATAGCAGTAGACATTTCCAATAATTTTTAAATACTTATTAAAAATAAAAGATAAAAAACTGTCCACATAATGATACTCACTGTGTATCACTGCCACAGTCAGGACAGGAGCTGAGAATCTACCATGGAGCACTGAGACTCTTACCAAGAGCTGTGAAGCTGCTCCAACTAAATATACGGTTACTGCACTGCAGCACCTTAAAAAATTGCATATACTGCACTGCATCACTGTGTACCTGATACACCAGTCATTTTTACGGTGAGCCATTTAGCAAATATTGCAGCTTAAATCTTAACCCTGAATATTAGCAGATTAGTGTGTTAGCCTGAACTGCTTCTTAAACAACACTGGGTTCTTGAGGAAGGTTAAGTCTGATAATCTTTCATACTTCATACACACAAAGTTTCTGACCGTAAATGTACATTTACTTGTGGGGCTGAGCATTTCTTTTCCTCCGTGCTGCTCCCCCTTCTGCCGTGCTGTGGCTGTTGTGACTGCTCAGATGCGAGGCCATATCACGTGATCAGAGAGTGACAGTGTAGTGGGAGTTTGTGAAATCAGAGCTGCTCTGTGTTTCGGAAATCTCTGGTGCAGCCGCAGCCTGACTGACTGACTGAATCGCAGTGACGGTATTTCAAAAGCTGTGTCCCAATTCAGAGGCTGCATGTGAAGGCTGACTGCATCACAGCGGGGCGACTAGGCTGTCCTATTTCAAAGGAAATCTGCCGTAGAGCAGACCACCTCGTTTCGGTTCAGCCTTTGCGGGTCTACACAGCCTTCGGTGGACACTCTTTCGTGGACCGCATCCTTCGAAGGATGCAGCCCCTGAACTGGGACACAGCTAAAGTGTCCACGATAACATTGCGTCTAATATCGCCATATACTAAGTCCAATCTAAATCAGACATGGTGAGTAAACTTACTATGTTTGGCATGGCGGTGAAGCAGAAGGCTTTTTCAGACAGGAGTTTTTTCAGGATATACACCACGTCATAGTGCTGGGCATTAACGGCATCCTGCTGAAATCTTATCAGGTCATCCCAGTCCTTCAGAGCCAAGCGAATCTACCCGAGAGACAAACACAGAATCATACAGCAGGAGGCAGTGGTCCACATACAGGTGACGACAACCTTCTTCAAAGACACAAAGTACACCAAACAAACACGGCTTTGTCAGAAAAAGGAGAGTTACATGGTAAAAGTGCAGTGAATGCCGCATGAAATCAGTCATTCCAAGAGCAAAGCTTCGTACCTTCTCTTTGGGAGTGGTGAGCTGGGTGTTGTAGAGGCCATAAAGAAGGTAAAGGCCTCCTACTCGGATCTGGAAGGTGTACGGAGGGAAGAGGTACGGAGAAACAACAGACAGAGCCAAACGTGTGAAGGCCTTCGTCTCACTGTGCTCCATTCGACCACTGTAAAGAGACACAGGAGCGTACAAATGTCATTTTATATGCAAGCAAAGGTCATTTTACAGTTTTCAATTCGAGGGTATTAGCAGATTAGCATGCTAGCCTCAGGCTGTTACCAGAGAACCTGTAGAGAGGAGAATTACCACTCCAGAATGTCTTCCGGGTTTCTGAAACGCTAGAGGGCGCTCCCGAGTGAGTCCAAAATGAATGGGTTGATATGGAGCATTTGAGCAAAATCAAAGTTTATAAATGCTCAAACACTTTTAATGTAAAAGAACACCTTAATTTCCTGAACAGAGAGCAGCATAAAACATTTTAACACTGCTGTTATATTTTTGAGAGCTTTTAAACTCGAGTTATAGGAGTTTACAACGGCGCCTCATGTATGTTCATGATGTCAGTGAGCGCGAACAGCCAATGAGCTGCTCCACTCTCCAATCAATCATCACGCTCTAGCAGTAAAGCCCGCCTCCTGCTGCCCAAAACCCGTTTGCTGTAGAAATAGGAAACATACAGGTGAGATTTCTTTGCTTTTTTAGTGAAATACATCCTTCTCCTTTCTAAAATTAAAGGAAAGTTCTGGGCGAAAGATTAGAAACTATTTTAACTTTTCGTTTTTAGCCATTGAGCTCCATTTACTCCCATTCATTGAGGACTCACTCGCGGACGCCCTCTGCTGTTCAGCAGTCCTGTTTTTGATATAACGGGGGAAATAGGAAGAGGCCAGGCTCCTCATAAACCAGTTCTGATGTTACTTTCAATTGCTGGACTAACTATTAACTAATGTATTAGTTAATAGTAAACTGCACTCATACTCAAGGCTGGTAACTGGGGGTGGGAGGTACGAAAATTTGTTATCATTATTGTAAAAAATTTGTTATTATTATATAGTATTTCTAGAACATGAGCCATTTAAAAATATATACTAAAAAAAAACAAATAAAAGGCACCTGTAAAAACAACAACAACCAGAAGAATACTGGATATTAGCAAGGAACTTTTTGCAAGATAGTCCATTTTACCATTTTCCCATTACATTTTTCCCAGTTGACTTTTCCTCCTTTTCTTTATTACTACAGATGAACTGATCTCATGTGCCCACCAGAGTCAACATATAAACATTTATGAAATGTACAAATTTCTATAAGATCAGCATTAAGGAGAAATATAACACTGAGTGTGTTTATATGCGCTCAATAATCTGATCATAATTAGATTTCTGCAGTTATCTGATTATTCAAATGGTCATGCAAACACCATACTCTGATCTAGAAATCCGATTAAGAATCTGATAAAGAGAGCAGGTAAACTGATTTCTCAGTGCATGTAAACTCTTACTCTGATTTCTTTCGGATGTCTCAGCTGTGCATGTGCAGAAACAGTCCGCGGTACTGGAAATAAGCGAGCAGACACCAAACACGAAATAAAGGATTTAAATATTCTTCATCTTCTAGGCGATGTATGTTCATATTTTCAGGTAAAGTGACGTTTCCAAAAAAAACAAAAAGGGGCACGAGGCCTGAGTTTTACGTCACGTTTACGTCACGTTGTCTTCTGTGAGTCTATTGGCTGGTTGCAAAGCAGACACCTGATTACTGTCTGACCCATGTAGACCGGGAGTTTCCCCATTATCTGATTACTCAAGAGCACGTAAATGTGTTGATCGGAATACTGACAAAATCTGTTTTTCCGCAGTATTCGGATTATTAAGTGCATGTAAACACACTCACTGTGATATCAGGCCATCATAACCTTATACAATTACTGACTCCAGGACACCACCAGAACCCAACATAAACTTTCAGTGGTTTCTGTGGTTTTCTCAGCAGGGAACCCTGTAGACTGTAGAAGGCTATATTCAGAATCAACTTTACGAGACTAAGTTAACCCTCCTGAACAGCACTGTAGTTATGGTGACTATACGGTTATATATATGGTTACTGCACTATAATGTCTGCATTTGTACCTCACCAGAAATAAATATGATATTTTTCCCTAATGCTAATCCAGGTGGATCTAGAACTGATATGTACACTTTATAAATGTGTACATGTTTACTCTGGGAGGCACATGAGATCAGTGCATCTGTAGCAACAAGGAAAAGGAGGAAAAGTCTAACAATTATAAAAATGTAATGAGATAACGGTAAAACGCTACAGTATTTAAGGTGGAACGGAAAATTTCGAAAAAGATGCTGACCCTGAAATGTAACTGCTTCACTATTTAAGGTGGAACGGACAAATTCGAAAAATAAGCTGACCCTTAAATGTAACTGTTTCACTATTTAAGGCGGAACGGAAAAATTCGAACAAGTAGCTGACCCCGGAATGTAACTGCTGCACCATTTAAGGTGGAACGGGACATTTCGAACAAGAAGCTGACCCTGGCAAGTAACTGCTGCATCATTTAAGGTGTAGACCATGACGATGGTTCTATATAGCACCAAAAGGGTTCTTCTGTTGTTCCAAGCTTGACATCGTAACAAAAGCACTGCCCTTTTTGGTGCTATATAGAACCAGTTTCAAAAATGTTCTGTATGGAACCATATACAACACATTCTCTATCAACATGAAGAACAATTTCACCATGCGAAGAACCATTTAAGCATGAAATGGTTCTATGTAGAACTGATGGTTCTAAATAGTACCATTGCTTTTACTAAAGAACGCTATTTAAAGTGGAACGGAAAACTCGAACAAGAAGCTGACCCCGGAATGTAACTGCTGCACCATTTAAGGTGGAACGGAAAAATTCGCACAAGAAGCTGATCCCAGAATGTAACTGCTGCACCATTTAAGGTGGAACGGAAAATTCAAACAAGAAGCTGACCCCTGAATGTAACTGCTTCATCATTTAAGGTGGAACGGAAAAATTCGAACAAGAAGCTGAGCCTGAATGTAACTGCTGCACCATTTAAGGTGGAACGGAAAAATCCGAACAAGAAGCTGACCCCTGAATGTAACTGCTGCACCATTTAAGGTGGAACGGAAAATTTGAACAAGTAGCTGGCGAACAGGAAGCTGACTTCAGCCTCCTCTGATTTAAAGACAATATTAGATGTTCGGACACTAACGTATATCAGATGTTTCACACGAGGTAAATGAGTTTTCTCACTAAAATATGCTGGAGAAGTTCATTTGTCTCCAGATGGTGCTGAACTCCTCGTAGCGCACCGAGTCGGTGGCCTGAAATCTGCCGAGGATCCGCTCGCAGTCCGTCTGTACAGCCCGCCTGTAGTGCTCCATAACCCCGATAAAGCCCCTCAAACCGAAACCCTTTAATTCTCCACCGCAGATCGATAAACACGTTAGCTCGTCTTCATGCCGCTGCTGTTTGGCTTTCCTTCTGTACCTGTGAGTGTTTTCCCTGAACGGTTCAGACGCTACACTGCCATCTGCTGTTCTGGCGGTACGAACAACTGTGGCCGCCCACCAGCTGCCGCAATACGATACGATTGCGATTTACCTTTCGATATTCTGGCGATATTTCTAATCTCGTACACTTAAAAAGATCTTCACAGGTTCTTTAGTAAAGGCAGTAATGAGTTTTACATGGTACCATTTCATGTTTAAATGGTTCTTCAGATTGATGAAGAATGCGTTGTATGTGATTCTATACAGAACCTTTTTGACGATGGTTCTATATAGCACCAAAAGGGTTCTTCTGTTGTTCCAAGCATGACATCGTAACAACAGCACTTTTTGGTGCTACATAGAACCAGTTTAGAAAAGGTTCTTAGCTAATGCATAAAACAACATAAAGCTTAAAAGCCCATAGCTACATGAGAGTTATTTCATAATTTAGTGATTCATAATCAGAATAATCAGTTATGAGTTTCAATAATCGATAGATTATTCAACTATGAAATTAGTCATTTGTTGCAGCTCTAATAAATATTAAGAAGGTCTTCTGACCATTCACAACAACAAGATTAGACATTTTCATTGGTTTATCCAATTAATGAGAGTAAATTTAGCCGTATAAATAAATAAACACATACACGAAGTATTGTGCTGTCAAGGGCATTTATTTATGCAAGTAGAATATTCAGGGCTTTTTTTGGAAATGCTAAATAAATTGTGTATTTATAATTTCCAACGTGGGGGTGCATTATTTAAGACATAATTCTAATTCAAATACAAAATGTGCATTTAAATTTGCACTTTATGAGTATGATAGCTGGAAAAGTGAATATGTAAAGGCAAAGTGCTTTTCATAATCTTTTTTAATACTAATAATTAAGGAATAAGTCGCTCCAACTCTGCCAATGAAAATGTATTTGCAATCCTGTTTACAATTGCATTTTGACTGTTAACGAGGCTCTCCTGTCAATTGAAGGCTGTGGGTGGGACATCGGGAAGGACTGTTTAGTGTGGGGCGTGTTTTAAGAGGAAATGAGGAATAAACTTCTCAACTTTGGTGCTACTGGAGCTTTAGCGAGCACTGCTAGTGAGGAAGTTTATTTATAAAGCACTTTTTACAACAGGTAAAAATCCGGGTCCGAGCCCCCATGAGCAAGCCTATGGCGACAGTGGCAAGGAAAAACTCCCTAAGAGCAAGAGGAAGAAACCTTGGGAGGAACCAAGACTCAAAAGGGGAACCCATCCTCCTCTGGTCGACACCGGATAGCAAACAGCATTAATATAAAATATTAAAATACAGAAATGGGGAAAAACAGGTGAAGCGACGGTTATAATTAGATAGGTTGAGGCTGTGCAGCAGCGGCAGCATCAGGAACTGATGAAAAAGTCTGAACGTTGGCGCTGCTGGAGCTTTAGCAACGGCTGCTAGTGGCGTTTTAACACTCGCAAACCAGGCCGAGGAGAATTCTGTCAAAAATGTTTCTTGTGATTCTTAACCAACTAGGAGAGCCTGTGTCTGTTACAAGCACCAATGTTAGTGACCTCATGACCGGCTTCAGGCAGAGGCTCGCAGGATTGTCACAGGAGCTGGATGGCCAGTGATGGATATTCTTATTAAGGAGGCGCAGGGCAGTGGCCACTGGGGTTTAGCGCAGTGTTTACCAACAATGGTCCTGAAGGAACTTAAGATGATTTTGGACTGGAACCAGCTCAATAACAGCCCTTCACTATTTGTAAGAGTGTTTCTTAAAGCAGCAAAAGCTCTAAAATCTGTAGGGCCATGTTCCCCCAGGACCAGTGTTCCTTGACAGTCCTGCGAGCCTCTGGTCTCCATGTCACTTACATTGGTGCTTGAGCTAATGTTGAGTTATCAATACACAATTGAATTAGCATTCTCAAATTTGCATTAAAAAAGTCCAGAATATACTGTCATACACACACAGAGGAGTGATTAACATGGTCGGGTCATGCATCTGAGGGGGTTCGGCAGAGCTTTGCTGATGGAGGAGAAGATCTTGGACAGACGCTTTCGTGCTTTCTTGAAGGGCGTCAAGAAATCCTTTGATTCTCCCTGGGAAGCTGCAAAAGATGAAAACGATCAATCAGAACCAACGAGTGATAAAACTGATTCATTTCTTGAATATTTTTCTTTGTTATTTTGAGTACACTGTACGCTGCACTGCATTAAGACACTAAAGAAGTGACATTACAAGTCAAACTTGTCCAAAAAGCTTATAAAACACTGTCATGACTGTGTCCACTTTGAAAGAGTAAACTGCCCTCTGTGTGTTTTGTTTCAGGTACTTACAATCTTGAAGATTTCCAGAGGAGGGGTTTGGTGGATGGTCAGCAGACAGCAGGCCAGCAGGACACACTTTCTTTAATTTCTTGAAGAAAAAACATTTAATAAAGAAAAGATCAGCATTTAAGACAAAATCAGCAATTAAAAATCAACATAGTCTTACAGTTTAACACAATCACTGATAATGTAATAAAGTCATATGAATAGGGTTCATGTGTCATAATTCAGGTATTATTATCTAAAGGTTTTTACTTACCATAAAGCCAAAGCTGATCATAGGAGCTTTTTTACAGACATTAAAGCAGAATCCACGACTTCTCTTCTTCAGAACCACAGGGTCTGGATTCAAGACAGAGTTGTCATTCAATGGGCTGGAGCTGGAACAGGAAGAGGAACCCTCCTGGCTGGAGATGATAAAATTCTCCAACGTCTCTCTCACAACATCACTGGCAATTCTTCTTAAGTATGACGGTGATGCAAAGTCCATTCTAGAAATGTCATGAATTCCCTCCAAGTCCAGTTGTTCAGGCGTCACTAGCAACGTCAGTGGCTCGTCCTTTGTGTCAGAGACTGGACCAGTTGAATGCAGTGATTTCACCACTAGATCTGCAAGAGCCTTCGTGAAGTGGCTCACTGCATTGGTGGAAACACATTGAAACTCAGTTGACTTGTCTGAGTTTCTGCTCTGGCCTTCAATGCCTACACTGGTGCCTTGCATGTCTCGGTCAGGAGAAATAACATCAGGAAGTGCTGGGTTGTTACTCAGAAAGTGCAGGAGCAAACTCTTAACACACTCCTCTACAAAAGGGTAGACCAGAACTAAAGGGACCTGGATAGGGTCCCTCAGCAGATTCCTCACCCATGATGTCTCAATAGCAGAATCTGAGGTGCTCCTACAAGCATGAGATGGTCCAGCCATATTTCCAAGATGGTTTGAGCTCAGATTTCTTAAGCCAACTTCATGAAAGCATATGGGCTCATTAGTAATGAGAGGTTGTTGTTGGTTTGTGGCAGAAAGTTGTTGAAATTGAGGTTGGGTGATGTTTTTGTGAGTGGATTGCTCTGACACAGCAGAGGAGCATATCCTAGCAGCTTTACTCTCAGGTGTTGTTGACCTGGTTGATTTGTTCTGCATTGTGCATGAAGATTTTTCTGTTTTGTTTGTTGTGCTGCTGATGTCTGATTGATCAGATGTACTGAGCAAAGTGAAAACTTCAGTCAGTTTGCTTCGCACATCTCCGAACAGTTGAAAAAGAGCAGACAAATGCACAGAATCACAAGTGATTTCCTCCGATTTGTGTAAACTCCCTAAAAACTCTTGAAATGCAGTGCAAACACGTCTTGTGATTTCAGAGGCTGAAGAGTTCAGACACTTCATCAATGCTGATGAAGATCTTCTGAACGGCACATCTGAATCAGCAGATGTTGCACTTGGCATTTTCTTGCGTTCCTCTGCAGGGAGCAGTACTACAAATTTCAAAAGAGCATCGCGGACTAAATGGAAGGAGTCTGATGTGAGTTTCTGGATTCTCTTTTTTGAAAGACCGTCTGAGAATTCACTGCAGTACAAGTCCACAATTTTAGAGATGATCTCGTCTGTGCACGAATCTAGACAGGCTTTGTCCACATTCCACACATACTGAGCTTCATATAGTTGGGCGTCATCCTGAGGAGGCTTTTGGATGATTCTACTTGCAGTGATTTCACTTTTTGAAGATTTTAGATCACTCATATCAGAACAAAGAGGAATGCTTTCAATCTGAGAGCCAGAGTCTAAAGCATCAACAACTGCTTCTGCAATAGTAACAGCAGCACTCTCTGAATCTGTTGAGCTGAGGACAGGTGTAGTGGACGTTCCTCTAGTGGATTCCAAAGAACACTGGTCAACAACTTTGTCTATGGCATCAACAACTGTAGTCGTAGGAACAGCATTGTCTGAATCTGTTGAGCTGTCAGACAAGACGGGTGTAGCAGATGTTCCTCGAGTGGAAGTCAAAGAACACTGGCGGAGTTCAACCCATGCAATCTTTGGGGCAGCTCTCTTGAGTGAGATATCACTCACTTCCTGAACAGCCTCATTCATGACCCCTTTGGGTTTAACAGTTATCATTTTGACTGAGGTTTGACTGGAGACAGAGCTGCAGATCTCAGTGACCTTGTCTTCCTCACGAGTGCCATGATCACATGGAAAAGTTGAGTGTAAACTCCTAGAATGGCTGATTTGAGGCAATGAAGATGAGCTTGGTTTGGGCAGAAGGAGCTCGCTCTTATACAACTCCACAATTTTCACAATAACCTCATCTGTACAAGAATCAAGATCAACCTTGAACCTCGGAGATGTTACCGATTCAAGCTCTGCTCCTTTTGTGGGCTCAAGCTGTGCTGAGAATGACTCTCGGAGCCCCAGGAAAAATCCAAAAACCTTCTTCTGCACTCCTCTGTAGATGTTCCGAGAAGTAGAGAGGAAACTCTTTTGCAGTAGAGATGATGAACAATACTTCCGTAAGTGCTTCAAAAACATTTCCATGATATCTGAAGCTGTAGAACCGGCTTTGATGGACAAAGAAGAGGCTGCAGCAGATGGGCTCTCAGTAATGCACGGCTGGAAATCAGTTGTACTGGTAGCCTCAGATGACTGTGAGGACAGTGAGGTGGAAAAGTCTCCCCCTGTTTTAAGAAGGATGTCTCTGACACTTTGTGTTGCTTTACCTCTGAACTGATCACTGAAAAGACTCTCAGCAGAACAAATGGAAGTAGCAACATTAGGCACAGAATCTACTTTGAGGGCAGAGCTGTCTATACGCTCTCCTAGAGCTCTGCCTGATGAAGCACTCTCAGATGATGAACTGCTTGCTCTCACAAGTTCTTCCAAACCTTGAATGATTCCATAGATTGCCTCAGACTCTTCATCTCCAGCTGGTATGTGGCTCTCAGAGGATTCAGCTGAGTGATAAAGCTGCACAATCTCACCAACAATGCTGTTTGTGCATGTTATTGTGAGATCATCCAACTGGGAAAGACTGTGATCTCTAGAAAGCTGCAGATCAGAGACTGGAGTTTCCTGAATGGAAGCAGCTGTTTGGTCGCCAGGTTTCAGAGTCGTGAAAAGAGCCTGAAGATAGCCACGCACCCTTCCGAACAAGTTAAAGGGGGTTGAAGGAACCCTCCCCTCTGAAATGTCCAATCTGTTTAGGGTATGTTTGGACGCTTCAAGTGACCTTATTATTGTTTCAGAGTCACTTTGGCTGTTGATCACGCTTGACTCTACAAGTTTGTCCAAGGCTTCAACAACTGTTCCTGCGATTATAACGGCAGCATCGTGTACATCTTTGAATGATACTGTAGAAGCTGAAGTTGAGCATCGATCACTCCTAACAAGAAGGTCACTCACCACCTGAGTGGCTTTAGTAAGAAACCTCTCAGACTTGACTGTGAGTACGTCGCCTTCAGACTCTTTGAGGTCTAGAGTGGAGTGAGAGCTGCTGACTTCATGTTGGTTTTGTATATTAATAAAGCTGTCATTGCTCTGGACACTTGACGGGCTGGCTTCACGATCTTCAGACGAGCCAGATTTGTCAAGTGGTACCTTCTTCTTAAATGAGTCCACAATGTCGTGAATGACCTTGTCTGTGTTCGTATCCACATCAGTTTGCTTCCGTAGACGAAGATCTTCATCATCGGACAGAAGCTCTGTGCTGCTTTCTTTCACAGCTTGCTTGGACAGGTGAAAGAACTTCCTCACCATCTCATTAATTGTCTGGAAGATGTTCCTAACAACGGAAGGAAATCCAGACTTAGTTCTTTCCGTCTGGTGGCTCGAGAGCATGTCCACGTTCTCTACAATGGTGTCCACAATTTCCCTGGATGTGCTTTCTAGATGACCTCTTATCACCTCAGTTGGGAATCCTGATTGAGCCATCGCCTCCAGCACAGAGTCCAGATCTGCTTCGCTGGCGAGGCTGCTGGGCATCTCAGGGGAGCCACCGTTCACTTCCCAAACTCCAGAACTGAGAAGTACTTGACTCACAGCCCTGCTGGCCTTTGCCTGGAGCTCTTCAGCTTTTTGCCTCTTGTGTTGCTCAAGCTGTGTCCTCTTGCTCAGACTGTCCTCTGAGGTTGATATTATCTGCTTGATCTTTTCAGCTGCAGCGTTCAGCAGATCACTGGTTCTAAGATCAGCTTTTCCAACACTGCTGCCGTCCATGAGATCAAGAACCGCCACAATTATTTTACCGGTAATATCGGTGATGTCATGTTCATTTTCCTGTTTTGCTTCATGGATTTTCCGTCCAGTTGAAGGAGCGTCCTCACGCTCAAACTTCTTAAACAGCTCTGAAAGGACGCTGGTCATCTCCTCAGCCATTGGACTGTGCTTTGGTTTCCAGCTTTCAGAAAATGACAGTGCTTTACAGGAGGCGAGCTTGCAGATTGCTTCCTGCATCGCCACCTTTACCTCACTGACAAAATCCTCAGTCATGTTGCTGATGAACTCAGATGGTTCCACAGTAGATCTTGTTTGAAAAATGAGAAACAAGAACAGAAGAAAATAGTCAGTATTACAGAACAGCTGCAGTCTGAAAAGTCTGAAGTTAAGATTTTCTGAAGTTCGTACTTTTTGTAGAGGTTGTGTCAGAAATGGGACAATAGACAAATATTTGGAACATAAAATCTTAAAAAGATGGTTTTTCAAGGGTTCTTTAGTAAAGACAATAGTTCTATGTAGAACCATGAACACAAACAGAACCCTATCCATGATTAAATGCTACCTGGCACCATAAAGGAGTTCTTCAGATTGATGGAGAATGTGCTTTTCATGGTTCTGTATAGAACCACTTTCTTCCCTGAAGAACCCGTGAAGATCCTTTTTTATTTGTAAAGCCTGATATTGAAACAATAGCAGAACTCTTTTCAGGTGCTACGTAGAACTCTTTTGAAAAACGTTCTATACAGAACCATTGACAGCACGTTCTCCATTAATCTGAAGAACACTTTCATGATGCAACAAACCCTTTAATCATGGTTCTTTGACTTTTCATGCTTCTATTTAGAACCATTTTCTTTACGAAAGAACTCTTGAAGAACCATCAAGTGTGAAGCATGATATTGAAACAATAGCAGAACCCTCTTAGGTGCTATAAAGAACCCTTTCCAAAAAGAATGATCTACAGTACGTTCTCCATCAATCTGAAAGACTCTTTCATGATGCAAAGAACCATTTAATCATGGAAAGGGTTCTGTGAGTGTTCAGGTTCTATATAGAAGCATTTTCATTACTAAAGAACCCTTGCAGAACCATCTTTTTTCTTTCTCACAGTTTTGAATATGTTAAATAAATGTAATTAAACCAGTTAAATAAGTTAAATATGTTATATGATCTGTTTGCACATGTTTATTATGACAATAACACATTTGTGTAGTTTTTAATGTGAACTGTTATTACATAACTGGATACTTATTATTATACATGATTTATTTAAACTACCTGCTTTTAAAAAACTCACCTTTCATCTGAGTTGTGTGATGAGGCCGCAGGCTTGGTGGGTGTGGTCGACTGGTCAGAGGGGCTCCTGGACTCAGACTGGGCTTTGTTCTTCAGCTGCTCTTCTGCAGTGAGAACTGCTTCTATCCCCAGAGTGTGAATGAGAGTCGGCAGGAAACTCTTCACGGCTGATTTTCCCACTGAGATCACAATGTTAGTGCACAGCGACGCGAACTCCACCTTTGATCTCTGTTAAATGAATCAATAAAGCGATGATCAACAACATGTTTCAGGATTTATATTT